CCAATGAACAACTTCAGCAATTGATCGTTCACGACATGGACAAAAATGACCGAGAGTTTCTCAACAAGATCATATGAGATTGGAATAGGGTCAACAAAAGAAAGATCGAAAGGAAGAATGCCATGGCAAAAGAACCTTACACTCAATGGGTTTTGGATAGGGTGCAATTTGTTAAGCTACCATTTAACATTGATCCTAAGTACCAATGAGATATCCTAGATCCTCTTCCTATGTCCTTAGAAGAGATAAACAACTTGAAGAAAGCCTTGAATCAAGCTCAAAAGGAGAAGGAGGAATTTGAGCTTATCCTTCATGACCTCACTAAGGAGAAAAGATAGATGCAATGCGAACTTGAATCAAAATACCAATAGATTCAGAAGAACCGTGAAGCATTTGAAAAGGAGAGTCTTAAGAGGAAACGTTCGACTGAAGGATTGTTGAGTGCTACCTTTAACTTGGATTCCCATAACCAACATTTAGAGGATGCTGCTAGGGAAATAGGGAAGCTAAGTAAGTGGTATGAAAAGTGATACAAGACAAAAAGGAGATGGAAGAGAACTTGAGGGCTCAAATTCAAGGTTTGGCACAAACTTCTCTAGATCAAGATGGGCAAATTCAATATCTTACTACGAGACTCCAAGATAGCCAAGAATCGGACATAGGAGAACGTCTCAAGAGGATGAGGGTATAAAGACTTCTCTCCCAAAAGACTGATAAATATGAGCAAGTTTGTCATGAGTTAGAAGACCTCCGAAAGAATTTCCTCATACAGAGGAGACTCTATACAAAGCTAAGGGCTGAAAAATTATATTGGGAAGAGAAGTATGCAAAAATTGCCAAAGCTGGAAAGGATAATCGTAAGATGATTCTAGGCATCTACTAAGAATATCGATTCTACAAAGACAAGTATGTAAGAGTCGCCTTTTTAGCCAAAAATCTCATTGGTGACATCCCTAGAAGTTTAATAGATGTGGAAAATGTGATGGTACCTCTCCCTAATGATGTTGAAGACTTCCTCAAGCTTTGTAGGAAGATGGTTGACGACTTCAAGGCGGATATCCGCAACCGGTCTTAGAAGAAAATTTTCCCTTTGTTATTTATTTCAACAATTAAATTTTGATGTTTTTGGTTTGAATATTTTTCAATATCTGAGTTGTATTCCCTTATGAGGATAATTGTTATTTCAACAAAAGTACTTTGTTTCCATATCCTGTTTATGTATTTATTTTTGAGATGCTCACCAATAAAAAAGCAAAACCTAAGAAAAAAATATATAAAAAATCCAAGTGAATAAGAAATTAAAAAATATTCTCTTAGCATATTCATACGCATCCATGCATTCGCAAACATCACATTTAATACCTTATACAAAAACTTACACGTTTTCAAAAAATACTCTCTAGTTAAACCATTGATAAGAAATCACCGCCTCTCCGGTCTCCATATCAAACAAGAGCCCATCAATAGAAAGTGATGGAACAGATCGAATTGAACCAAGCTTCCTTCAAGGAAGATTTAGAGCAAGTAAAGGGTAATATCGACTCAATTAAAGTAGACATGAGTCAAGTTCTGTTAGCCTTGAAGAACTTCTTCAAAATACAAGAACCGATTCCTAGGGCAACCTTTGAAGAAGTAGCCCAGACTATTGATGCATCAAGCGGTCACCAACCAAGAAGAGAACCAGAGTCAGGACCTCTAAAGTCAGTTGTGGCTCAGCAAGAGGTCAGGCAAGCTGATATTGAAGGGTTTGTCCCACCTCCACTGAAGGTAGAGGCATCCCATACTTTACGAATTCCAGTCAACAATATGGACAACTACATAGATCTATAATATGGAGATGTTGATTTGGAAGGTGCTACTCAGACACACTAACCCAAGATTGTTGAGAATCCCTTGACACTCAACCAATTTAAGGATCTTGAGGAAAGGTTGAAGGTTATGGAGGGTTACAATGCTTTCAACAACGATGCTCTCGAAGTGGGCCTAGTTCCAGATATGGTGATCCCTCCAAAATTCAAAGTACCTGACTTTGGTAAATATAAAGGACTCACATGCTCGAGGAACCATCTACAAATGTATTGCAGAAAAATGCATGCCTATGCTCAAGATCAGAAGCTGATGATCCATTGTTTCTAAGACAATTTAAGTGGGGCATCCATAGATTGGTACATGCAATTGGAGAAAGTTCATATCCAAACATGGACAGATCTTGCCAACGCTTTCTTAAGACAATACATGTACAATTTGGACATGCTTCTAACCGTATGCAACTCCAAAACTTATCTCATGAAAAGGATGAGTCTTTCAAGGAATATGCTAAAAGGTGGAGGAAAATGGCATCCCGTGTACAACCACCACTCCTGGAGAAAGAATTGGCCGATATGTTCATGGGCACTCTACAAGGCTTATATTATGATAAAATGGTAGGCAATGCCTCTTCTGGATTTTATGATTTGGTAACCATTGGTGAAAGGATTTAAGAAGGCATAAAAAGTGGCAAGATACAAGGGGCATAATTCAATACTCCTTACAATTCAAAGAAGCATATTCCTAACTTTTCAAAGAAAAAGGAGGGAGAAATTAATATTGTCGCATCACATCCAAGAGCACATTAACCATTGGTAATTTCACGAGAACAACAACAAAGCAAGTTTGAAAGGCCTCCGATCTACACTCAAACTCAAGAATTTTGGTCAACATCAAGATTCTGAAGTCACATTCATCATTTGATCAAGGATTGATCATGATTCATCAAGAAAACTCAAAATTCATCAAAAGTCAAAAGTTACTAAATTAGGGTTTTCTTAAGAAGAAGTCAACTAAACTTTGACCAAGCATTTTACATACTTCATCAGAAATTCCTCAACAAAATCTTATTTAGAAGGAAATTCAATTCTATACAACTTTGTCTCTCTAAGCTCAAGGCCAAAAATGGTTCATTTGAGAGATATAGGTCAAAACATTACAAGTCATTTTAAAAGTCAACAAAAACAAATCTTTTGTCAAAGCAATTTACATCAAGTTAAAGACTTCAAATGAAAAAATGACCAACATGAAAGTTGTAGGAAACATCTTGAGGTTTCCAAAACGTCAAAGATCATCTTAATATGACAAAAATTAAGAGAGATACGATTGGTGCAAGTTAAGAAATTTTGAGAAAATGCATGAAACTCAAAATGAGCAAACTTGAACTTTTGGGCTAATGGGCCTAACTTTTGAAGTTTAAACATGTTTATAACATGTTAGAGGACCTATAAGCCCATCCATGCATATCCATGATTTTTTATTTTATTTATTTTAATTTTATTCACATATTTTTAAAATAAATCAAATAAATTGTCAAAGTATTGGACTTAGGCGTGTGGACTCTTATTTTAATCATGTTGGAGGCCCAAAAATCTACCTTGAAGATGATTAAATCGTGTGACCTTATTTGAAACAAGTTTTCATTGGTTTTGTAAGATTTGAACTTATTTTCAAACAAAATCAAAGATATGATTTCATGAGACGTCCAAGCCCACCACTTGACCTAATCATTCTCCTATAAATACATGACATATTCAGACATCAAAAAACACGCAGGCTGTCTCAAGAACAAAACCTAAAATTCCAAAATTTTCAAGAAACTAGGGCAACTAGAAACCCTTGTTTCATGCCACTCTCAATCAAAACCAAGCCTAAAATCGTGTTCTTGAAGTTCCTAGGAAGTCATTCCAATCCTTATTCAAGCTCGAAGCACGCCAGAACAACACACCTCGACTGCACCAGTTTGGTAACATTATTGAATTTAAAACTTTTAATTCATGCAATTTAAATGAATTTGATGCATACATTCATGTTCATGATGATGTTTGGAACTGTTTTGATCCATTACTTGTGAGGTTTGATGCAGGAATAAAGATCTGCCATTGTTAGGGCAGTTTGAAATATTTTCATCAAATCTCACGTTACATGTGTTTTCAGGATAAAATAAGATCACCAATGGATTCAAGAGGTCCAAATTAGGGGGACACGACCAGAGTTTGAATCCAACGTCTCTGTGTTTTGGTTGACTCCGGTAGGGCTTTCGTGGCAGAGAGGAGCAATGTGATTGGTTGATTCAAATAAAAACCTGGCCCCACCACTATGCGCGTGATTGTTTTAATTGAATTTGATTCTTAGTTTTCAATTTATAGCATATTGAATAATAATGATTATACTAACACACAACAACAAGTGGAAGATTGGTAAGAAGCGTGACTGGTATTGCAAAGGGCGTGAGTTCGATCCCTCCTCTTGTCAAATTTCTTTAGTTTTTTCAGGATAACGCGCAAGTTCATAATATGTTGATTGGTTCCTATTCCATAACACAAAAGACAACATAGCACAGTGGTAGGAGGGCATGCTGGTGAAGGGAAGGGAGTGGGTTCAACTTCCACCCCATGCATTTGTTTTTTCCCTATTTTTACTAACCCTATTTCTTTTTCTGTTTTACTAATTATTTTCTAATTAACCGTTAAGAAGCTTAAATTATTTTCAAAACCATAACATGTTAAGATTAGGTTTTTTAGTTAGTAATTAAATTTTTTAACATTTATTTATTTACTAATTAATTAGCTTTTTCTCAATATTAAAATTAATTAGAAATAATTAGGTTTTAATTACTATTCATTAACATAAAATTATTTTCTATAAAAACAAAAAAAAAACATTTTAAATATTTTTATAACATATTTCCTTATTTCTTTTTCCTATTTAATTTTCTTAGACAAAATGTATAGGTTCACACTCTCAATTGTAATAGCATAGATGTACATTTTCACATTTTTCATATTATGTATCTGCTCACAGGATGTAATAGCTTAAGTTTAAATTTCCGCGCTTTACATTCCGCACATTATATTTTTAATTGTTAGTAATTAGGGTTTGTATGGAAAGAATAAAAAAAAACATAGAAAACCTAATTTTCAAGACTAAATAAATGAAATACACACTCTTCACACTTGCACCTCTAGGATAACCTCTCTTGTTGCCTTATGAATATTGGTCATGTCCCTAGAAAGTAAGGATACTTTAGCAAAAGACCCTCAATTTAACAATATCTTCATGGTCCTTTTCGAATAAAGATCATAGTCCCTCGATGACCCTCCTAGTTGCCTACAAAATAATGATAGTCCCTCCGATACAATGGCTAAAGTATTCTTACATGTTGCCTTCGATGACCATACGACGACCCTACGATTGTCCCTTCATATCCAATAGATAGGGTTACCTACCAACTAATGGTACGAATAATACTATCTCCAAAGGAGAAGGAAAATAACCAGAAAGACCTTATTAGTGGGTAAGACTCCTAGTTTCTTGCTCACAACATGTTCAAATATCATATTTTCAAAAACACTTTGTATACATTCTTGAGGACTGGTATAAGAATTATTACAAAGTTAGCCTTACATTGGCATTTAAAAATATTTTCAAAAAAATCACACACACACAAAGCAAGTTTTTCTTAAAGTGAGCTAAGAAATTAAGAGCACGTAGATAACTACAGATGAAAAGCGTGCTAACACATTCCGTTTTCATAACTTAACCCCCAAACTCAAAATCTATCAAAGGTGTTTCCTGTTCTTTTTACCTTTCCTAAGTATTGGATAAAATAAAAGTCGGTGGCGACTCTTCCTAACCGCAACATTTGTGATAAAATAAAAAAGTCAGTTCTTCCACCGTATTACAGAACTAGCGACTCTGCTGGGGACAAATATAAAGGAGGTTTACCTTAGAGATTATATCACTTTTACTTGCTTTAATTGTTTGTTTTGTTTTCACTTTAAGTGTTCATGCTTGGGTATTATTGCTTGTAAGATCCTACACCTGGATCTAGTGATTCCTTAGGTAAGTAAAAATAAATCATAAAGATTGTACATCATAGACCGATATGGTTAACATGATAGCTACAATTAGTGTGATACTTTGGTTTGTACTGATGTTCCTTTGGTAAGTCAAGGATAACATTAGGCTTTCACGTGGTGTCGTTAACACTAACTTACTTTTAGAACCTTAATTGACTCATCTTGGCCATTATAAAGTAGTGAGATAGACAACTTTGGTGCAGTCCAAAGTTGGTTGATACTCGATATTACACTCATTGAGATTTGACTCTCGGGATGTTTTGGTGGCAAGCCGGTTGCCGTGATAAAATAAATCATGCGAGAAAGATCTGTGATATGAGATTCTTAGAACCCGGTTACTATTTTAGGACATGTTGAGCCAACTTAACTTTAATGGGGAAGGATATTTACCTATGGACTTCATGCAAGCCTTTAAACCCAAGGCTCTTGTATCACTTGTTTGTGTTTTCTACTTATTTAACATGAACATAACATCACAACATCATATCATCATAACATAACATTTTCACTAACCATTTCGAGGACCTAGGGATTTATCTTTGTTCTTTGTTGCAGGTCATGGCCTCCACTCATAGAAATACAATCTGGATAAATTTTGTGAGGATACCTTCCAATCTTAAGGAGTTAGTCTCAAAGGTTCCCGAAAACTCCCAACTCACCAAGAAGCATGGTTATCTACTCAGTTTGGTCACCTCAGGGTTTGAAGAAGACATGATGAGTGTTCTGTTCTAGTTCTTTGATTCTAAGCATCATTGTTTTACCTTCCCAGATTATCAGTTGGTACTCACAATGGAATAATTTTCTAAGCTAATTGGAGTACCTATTCTTAATCAGACACCCTTCACCAGTTTAGAGAAAGTTCCAAAACCTGAAGTTATTGTAGTAGCCTTACACCTGTAATGGTAAGACATTGTATCTAATTGTGAAACAAGATGTGGAGTTAAAGGTCTTCTTGCTAAATTTCTGATAGAGAAGGCTTAGTTGTTTCTGGATGCTATGAGTTTTCATGCTTTTGAGGAGACCTTGGCTCTGTTGATCTATGGTTTGGTACTATTCCCTAATCCTGACCAACTCATAGATGTGAACGCCATCAAAATATTTCTTACTCATAATGCTGTTCCTACTTTGCTTGGAGATATTTTGCACTCTCTTCACACTCGTACTATGAGAGAGCGAGGGAATCTCATGTATTGCATAACTTTATTATCCAGGTGGTTTATTTCTCACCTTCCCTGATCAGTGATGAAGAATGAACAAGGTTTGAGGTGGTCTCGAAGGATGATGTCACTCTCTCATTCAAATATCTATTGGTGTTCCCGATCTCAAGAGGACATCACTATTATTGACCACTGTGGGGAATTCCCTAATGTTTCTCTCCTTGGCATAAGAGGAGGTATTACTTACAACCCTTCTCTAGCTCTACGTCCATTTGGTTATGCTCGAAGAGATGGTCCTTATGATATGCTTATTCAGGGTATTGTATTCGATTATGAGAAGGATCCTCAAGGTTATCGTAAAAAGTTTATACGTGCTTGGGGAATGGTAAATAAGATTGATAGCAAGACCTTGGGATACAAAAGCTCCATCCCTTTTGATTCCTACCTCAGATGGATACGATCTCGTGCTCAGAATCTTATAATGCCATATCATGCCGTCCTACAAGTATTTGTGGAATCTGTTGTTGAAGGAGATATTTCTCATACCATTTTTCATCCAGATATGCCTACTGACCTTGAAGAGCTACAAAAGTCTTGGATTCAACTAAAAGAAGAAAGGGACACCTTTGAGACCCAGTTCTATGCTAGTGAGAAGAAAGTATTGAAGCTGAAAAAACCACTTCACAAAGAGTAGAGCCTTAATGCATATGTCAACACAAAGAGGAAGCGTCCTTGGGAAACTTGAGTCTTAGGTCTTAGGAGTTCATAATTTGCTTCGTTGTAACCCTTTTTTTCCATTGTAAGCCAAATATTTTGAAGAGAAAAGAGGTTTCGAAGTTTTTGTTGTGGAACCAAAGAGTTCTATTGCATTATGGACAAAATTGGTTTAACTCCTGCAATTCTAAGGCCTTTTTTATGCTTCGTTGACCAAAGATGGTTTCATCTTATAATTCCCAAATACATAGTTTCCAAGTTATTCTAAACTTATTTGCAATTCTTTCAGTTTCACAAAGTTCTATGTTGCATTCAAGATTCATGTGAAACATTTGATTGAAATCTACAAATTCTGTTTGAATACATTGGGGTACAAAATCCAACATGTATTACAAGTCATACAAAGTTCAACTACAAAATTAGAACATAAATTACAATCTTCTTATTTTGTTCTATACTAATAAAAATAATTCTTCAATCTTCTTGCTCATCTTCAAATGTCTTGTTCCCACATTCTTCAAGTATGCGTCTTTGATCTCGCAAACCCATCCATCACATGAAACAAAAAGAAAAAGAGTTAGTAGAAAAACATCCCCCATCCGGACATGCCTACTGATCTTGAAGAGTTGCAAAAGTCTTAGATTCAACTGAAGGAAGAACGGGACACCTTTGAGACTTAATTCTATGCAAGTGAGAAGAAAGTGTTGGAGCTCACCAAGAAACTTCATGAGGAACAAAGTCTCAATGCATACATCAGCACAAAGAGGAAGCGTCCATGGGAGACTTGATTCTTAGATTTTAGGAGTTCATTTTGTTGTCTCTTTGAGACCTTATTGCAAGCCTAAAAGGAAATTGTAATTTGAACTTTGCTAATAAAATATTTGTTTTTTCCCCTCTTAGTTAGCAAATTTAAATTTCTTAAGGTCCTTGAAATCATTGCATTTACATATCATGCATCATTTCATAACAGGTTTATCATACATGTTTCTCATTTTCTCGCTGTTTATTTTAGCAGAAAAATGGCCCTCGAACAAACTGTTAAGGATCTTCAAGCTCAACATGCACAATTCCAAGAAACTCTCATGAATCGGCACATGGGCAGAAAGAGCTGTCGATGCTCGTCACCAATAAAAAGAAGACCAATAAACGAACTTCTGTCCTTAATATGGGGAGAAGGTTCAAAGGTCCTGCTCAACCCGTCCAGGTGGAATATATCTCCTCTGAAGAAGATGACAAGCATGATGAAGATGGTAGAAGCATCAAGAATGAGGGCCAGAACAATCAGGATTATGGAAATCCAGAAGGTGCTTGGACTGGATTTTTGTGAATTAGGTCTAGTTCCGGGGATGGTCATCCCACATAAGTTCAAGGTCCCTGTCTTTTCTAAGTACGATGGGTTCTGTTGTCCTAAGCTCCATTTTAGGTCGTATGTTCGGAAGATATAACCTCACACTACTGACCGAAAGTTATGGGTCCATTTCTTCCAAGAGAGTTTGGCAGGAACCCAACTAGAATGGTTCTCTCAGCTAGAGGGAACCAACATTCATACGTGGGAAGACTTGGCTGATGCTTCATATAAGCAGTATCAATACAACGCTGACCTGACACTGACTCGAGTGCAATTGCAGAATATGTCCATGGGCTCTAATGAAGGGTTCAAGGAATATGCACAAAAATTGAGGGACCTAGCTGGAAGGGTGCAACCTCCCTTGACTGATCGGGGAAGCGGTGGATATGGTTATGGGTACTCTGACAGACCCGTTCTTTAATCTATTGACCGGGAGCTCTTTGTCGGGTTTTACAAAGATGATTTTGATAGGGGAGAGAATTGAAAGTGGCATTAAAAGTGGGAAGATCCCGATGGCTACATCTTTTAATGCTATGAAGAAGCCATTTGGAGGTAAAAAGGAGGTCAATGCTGTCTATGGCCACAAGAGTCATAGTAAAAATAACCGCCATCAGTCTGTGGGAGCGGTGTTAATTTCTAATCCGCTGAGGCGGTTTACTAAAATGGAATGCCTTTATCTCAGGCGTTACAACATTTTCTGAAGGCTGAACTCATTTCATTACGGGATCCTCCTTAGAATCCCAACACCTCCTCTCCAAAGTATAATCCGAACGCGAGGTGTGCTTATCATTCAAACAGTCCTGGTCATGATACCAATAATTGCTGGGGCCTGAAGAGCAAGATTCAGGACATGATCGATAACAAATAAATTGAGTTTGATCATCCAGAGACTCTAAATGTGATTACCGCACCTATGCTCAAGCACGACAATGGCATAAGTGTTGTTGAAGATGTGTTGTATATTACCTATGTCAATGACATGGTTACTCCCCTCTCTACAGTCAAGAATAATCTATTACAAGCCAGTTTATTTCCGGGCTATGTTGAAGGATGTTATTGCTGCACGGTCCAACCCAACGACTGCGGGTTGCTGAAGGAAGTTGTTTAACGTCTGATGGATGAACACGTGGTTTTGATTGAGAAGACTCCAAATTTATGCCAAGATTTGTCTGTTATCTCCAATACTCCTTTTAGGATCCCTTCCAAAGGTCGTATAACGATTACCGCCAATTTGAAAGCTGCCCCTTTGGTTATTACAACACCCGAGCCTATCCCATATTCCTCAGAGAAGGCTATTCCATGGAATTATGGGTCTGACGTCTATTACCATAGCGTCAAGCAAGAGTTGTCCGATGAAGATGGTGAAGAGGCTGATCCCAACATTGTCAATATTGCGGGGACTATCAAAATTACCAGAAGTGGAAGGATTTTCTCCCCGGAAATCTCCTCACCTTCTCAAATTATGGCTACCAAGACAACTGCTGAGGCTCGGGGTAAGGAGCCAATGATAGAGCCTTCCCGGATGGAGGCTCCAAAGGAATATTTGGTCAAGGATACCTCTAGAAAGGATTTAGAGGAGGTGTTGAAGATCATTCGAAGGAGTGATTATAAGATTGTGGAACAGTTGGGGAAAAACCCTTCTAAAATATCCATGTTGTCTTTTCTTCTGTGTTTTGAAGCCCATGCAGAGGCTTTAGTTAAATTCTTATCCACGTGCTGCAAGAGATTTAGGCTGATCAATTTGGAAGTTACGTGGCTAGTCTGACAATTGACAATGGTTTGGGTTTCTCCGATGCCGACTTGACTCCAGAGGGGAGAAATAACAATAAGGCCCTATATGTTTCAATTGAATGCAGGGGCACTACCTTGGATCATGTGTTGATTTATGCGAGATCTTCTTTGAATGTTATGCCCAAAGGTGCTCTCGACCGACTAGATTATGAAGGGGTTGTGCTGAAGCCCAGCAATATCATAGTTCGAGCCTTTGACGGATCGAAAAGAATGGTACATGGAGAGGTGGACCTCCCAATCAAGGTGGGTTCACAGTTTTGAGTCCACCTTCTATGTGATGGACATCTGACCAACTTACTCTTGTTTACTGGGACACCCTTGGATCTATGGGGCAGGTGCTGTCACCTCTACCTTGCACCAGAAACTGAAATATACTGTAAAAGGGAAAGTTGTTACTGTTTGTGGGGAGGAAGAATATATGGTCAGTCACCTCAATTCATTCCGATACATGATGGTCGGAGAATTTATTGAAACACCCTGTCAAACCTTTGAAGTGATTTCTCCTTCTTCTGTTGAAGACCTTTCTGCCATTCTGAAGGTCACCAAAACTCCACACAAGATGGCCTCCTTGAAAGATGCTAAGGCTGCTATAGAAGAAGAAAGTCAGAGGGATTTTCGACGCGCTCGCGCTGGGAGACCTCCATTCCACATCAATAGCAACGGGGTCAACACTATAGAGGATGGAGACAATGATTGCAACTTCAACAACTGGATATTCGCTACCGTTGGTGATGGACTAGATAATTGGAAGGCAGGAGACATCTTTCCGATCTCTTTTAGTCAGGAGCAATAGCTATATTCCTGTCATATTGTTTTCAAAAGTTTTTGGCTATGTAATAAACAATGACTTTAAAACCTTGTGTCTTACCCGAGGCACAATGGTTCATTTGTTTAAGGGTTAATAATTCATAAACATTTGTTCATTCAATAAAAACATTGGACGTTTTTCATGCAAATTTTGTGATTTTTGTCTTTCTTTTGTCTTATTTCATTTTCATATAGCTATGTGTTCTCACACACACCCACACATTCCATTTGCAGATCCTCATCCACTCTGGATCTCGTCGATAATGATTATGCTATTGTCGCATATGAATTCAAGCTGTTGAAGAAAGGTCAATTAGTAAAATGGAACAACGACTGTCAATTAGCCTTTGATAAAACAAAGGAGTACCTACAAGAACCTCCTATTCTAATGACACCAGTTGAGGGACGACCTCTAATCATGTAATTAACAATTATAGAGAACTCAATGGGGTGTGTACTGGGGTAGCATGACTAGTCTGGTCGAAAAGAGAATGCAATATACTACCTTAGCAAAAATTTTACCGACTGTGAAACAAGATATTCACTACTCGAGAAAACTTGTTGCGCTTTGGCATGGGTTGCTCGCTGACTAAGACAGTATATGTTGACCCATACTACCATGTTGATTTCTAAAATGGATCCCATCAAGTACATATCCGAGAAGCTAACTCTCTTTGGAAGAATAGCTCGATGGCAGATGGTCTTAACAGAACACGATATCTAGTACACTACTCAAAAGGAAATTAAAGGAAGTGTATTGGCCGACCATTTGGCGCATCAGGCTGTAGACGATTACCAATGTATGAACTTTGAATTCCCAGACGAGAACATTATGCTAGTAATAGATTGTGAAGAACCAGGACCGTATGAAGGACCTGATCTAGGATCCATAAAGACTATGGTTTTCGATGGAGCTTCCAATGCGCTTGGAAACAGAATCGATGCTGTAATCATCTCCCCCCGTAGGTTTGACATACGCCCTTTACTGCTAGACTTTGCTTTAACTTCACCAATAATATGGAGGAATATGAAGCGCGCATCATGGGTCTTAGGGATGCTATTGATCCGAGAATCAAGTTCTTAAGCGTATATGGAGACCTAGCCTTGGTCATCAGTCAGGTTAAGGGAGATTGGGATACATAACACTCGAATCTCATTCCTTATAAAGAGCATGTGTTAAGCTCTACTCCGTATTTCGTGGAGATTACCTTTTAACACATACCAAGAGAAGAGAGTTAGCTGGCGAATGCATTTGCTACCATGTCATTCATGTTCAAGGTCAAATGGGACAATGAGGCTCCCATAATTACCATTGAAAGATTCGACGAACCGGCACAGTGCTATGAAATCAACACTGACGGAGTAGAGAAAAAACCTTGGTTTCATGAGGTGAAAAGGTACCTTGAAGCCCAAGAATACCCAGAAGGGGCATCCATCAATGACAAGAAGTTCCTACGGAGGTTCTCATCTAAGTTCTTCTTGAGCAATGGAATTTTATACAAGCGCAATCATGACTCGACTCTGCTTCATTGAGTGGACAAGATGGAAGAAGAAGAGATTATGAAAGATATGCATGAAGGTGTCTTCGGTACCCATTCCAGTGGGCATACTATGGCTAAAAAGATCTTAAGAGCTGGTTACTATTGGTAGACTATGGAAACTGACTGTCACCACCACTCGAGAACTTGTCATAAGTTCCAAATTTATGCTGATAAAGTTCATGTGCCTCCATTACCTTTGAATGTCATGAATGATCCTTGGCCATCCGTGATGTGGGGAATTGATATGATTGGAGAAATCAAGCCTACTGCCCCTAACAGACATCACTTCATCCTCGTCGCCATTGATTACTTTATGAAATAGGTTGAAGCAGCTTCGCTTACCTCTGTTACCAAGGTTGTGGTTACCCATTTCATCAAGCACAATCTTATCTGTTGGTATGTCATCCTCGAGAGAATTATCACGGATAACAGAACCAATCTCAACAATACGATGATCACTGAGCTCTGCACACAGTTCAAGATCAAACACCATAACTCTTCTCCGTATCAACCTAACATGACTGGCACAATGGAAGCCACCAATAAAAACATAAAGAAGATCATATAGAAGATGGTTGTGACATACAAAGATTGGTACGAGATGTCACCATTTTCTCTTCACGGCTACCGCACTTTGGCTAGAATATCAATAAGGGCAACCCCATTCTCGCTGGTTTACGGTATATAAGTTGTCCTACCTGTTGAGGTTCAAATTCCTTCTTTAAGGATCATGAAAGATGCAAGTTGGATGAAGATGAGTGGATTTAGACCAGGTTGGATCAGTTAAATCTGATTGACGAGAAGAAGCTGGTGGTTGTTTGTCACGGTCAGTTGTATTAGAAACACATGATTAAGGCATTCAACAAAAAGATTAAGCATCGGGTATATCAGGCTGGTGAATTGGTAATAAATCACATCTTTCTACCGTAGGGTGATCCCAGGGGAAAATGGACTCCCACTTACGAAGGGCCATTTGTAATCAAGAAAATATTTTCTAGTGGAGCTATGATACTGACCACCATGGACGGTGAAGATTTCCCGCATCCTGTGAATGCTGACATAGTAAAAAGATACTACGCATAAAAATGACCCACTAGGTTGACTGACCTATGCAAAAATAAGGGCATCCCGATGAACCAAAAAGGTTCGGGAAAAAATCAGGGATATATATAAAAAAGACTGTACACCCGGCAAGTCGAAAACCTGAAAAGGCGGCTTGGGCAAAAAAGGGTACCCCAGTGGACTGAAAACCCGAAAGGGAGGTCCAGGGAAAAATTAAGGATTAAAGTGTACGACTATGTCCCCATTGGATCACCTACAACAAGCTGTATTACCAAAGTCAAAGTTCAAACGGTACAGATCAACTCACTCACTTTCTTCCGACAACAAGGGATAAGATGCTTGAAGACACGGGGGAAATAGAAAAATTGAAATCGAACGAGATCATTTCCACATATCTACTATCTTGTTTACACTTTGAACTCTTTCTATTTCACGACAATTTCCCCTTATTAGGATCTCTGTCTCTTTGTACAATATCGTCTGTTTATGGGAAAACTATCAATGATAAATTCAATTTCAATTTCAAACTCTTTCTTTTTACTTTTTCTGTTTTGTTTGCAAGACGTCCAATGACTAAAATTGAATGAGCATATGCATATGAATACAATTGACTGTTAACAAATATATGCATAAAACAGGAATAAGCGTTTACTCAAGACTCTAGGAGTTGGGATAACGTCCAAGCCATCCACAAATACCCACATATCCACTTCCATGAGATTATCCCTATAAAGTAATCTTTGCAAGTTCATACATTCCCCACAATTTCCCCGGTAGATCACTTTGGAAGATAAAGGAGTATAGTCTTCTTCCCAATAATATCTCCCATCTAAGGAATCCCAATCATTACAGTTTATGGAAATTTTTCTCCTCAACTGAGTTTTCAAAACTGTAAAATCCCTTGCAGACTACTTCTCTTCATCAGAACTCATTCTCCTCAGTAAGGGTTTTCCCTCAATAGAGTATTCCTCAGTCAACAGGGTTTACTTCCCTAACGGAGTTCAGATTTCTGTCAACATGGTTTATTTCCCAAAAAAGGTTTATTTCCCCAGCGAAGTTCAATCTACCCAGCTTAGGTCTGCTTCTACCATATATTACCGGCAATATTTCTGCCTCCAACAAAGGACAACCCGAATTGCTATCCCCAGAGAGTTGCTACTAAACCTGGAATCGGACCAGTTATCAGTCAACTTTATCCTCCCCAGACAAGTCATAAGATTATCTATCTCTTTTATTCCCAGTCAGGGTATATAAAGATTAAACTCCCCAGACGAGTCAGAAGGTTATCCATCTCTTTATCCCCGGTCAGGGTATACAAGAATTATAATCCCCAGTATAGCAAGGAATAACCAATGTCCTTGAACTCTTCTTCCCAAGCAGAAGCCAACATTCCTCAGCGGAGTTTCCTAAAATAGAGAACAAGAATCCTTGACAGAAATAATCCCCAGAAGATCGAAGATACACATACTTTTCATCTCCAACAACAGTCATGGATTTATTTTCCCCCAGACAAAGATGCTGCTCGAGTTTACAAATACACTTCAATAACATTTCATATTCATACATCATTTACGAACAACATAGCATATGCATACAAAACACATATAACACAATCTCATTTATTTTGAGAACACCGTGCAATGCATTTCATACATCATGACATTGCATACAACTAACTCTTTACCTTTTCATGAAAAGATCAGTCAAACAGACAAACATCGTCAACTACTTGTATGACAAGACAATTTTCTCAAAGACATCATCTTCAGGCTCAACTTAGATCGAGCATAGATCTATTCTGATACTTCTCCCAGTTAAAGATGAGCATGGATATCTTCTGGCTCAGATTAAACCGACCATAGATTTATTCTGACACTTCTTCCAGTTGAAGACGGTCGTAGACTTTTTTTGGCTCAGATTAAATCAAGCATGGATTTATTCTAATGCTTCTTCCAGTTAAAGTCAAGCATAAATATTAGCTGGCTTAATTTAAATCAAGCATAGATTTATTCTGATACTTCTTCCAGTAGACATTCTTCTGGCTTAGCTTAGATCGAGCATAGATCTATTCTTATACTTCTCCCAGTTGGAATCAGTCGTAAAAATCTTCTGGCTCAGTTTAAATCAAGCGTGTATTTATTCTAATACTTCTTTCGGTTAAAGAAAAAGAGACCTCTCTTGGCTCAGATTAAATCGACCAAAGATTTATTTTGATACTTCTTCCAGTCAAAGACAGTCAAAGATAGCTTCTGGCTCATATTAAATCGACCAAAGATTTATTCTGATACTTCTACCAGTAAAGTTTTTCTGGCTCAGTTTAAATCAACCATAGGTTTATTCTGATACTTTTTCCAGATATAAAAATAGCATGGGTATCTTATGGCTCAGGTTAAATCAAGCATAGATTTATTCTGATACTTCTCCCAGTTGAAGACATTTTCTGGATCAGGTTAAGATAAGCATAGATTTATTCTAATACTTCTCCCAGTTAAAGTCAAGACAACATTTTCTGGCTTAGATTAAATCGACCAAAGATTTATTCTGATACTTCTTCCAGTTGATGTCAACAGTTACTCCAGATGGAATCTCTAAGCCCATCTCAAACGAATCTCCGTAGCCTCTCCAAATGGCATCTGTAAGCCCATTCCTGGTACAATCAACCAAAAACATCACTTATTGCACAGGCAAGTGCAAATTTCTGGGCACTTAAGTGTTCAATCCTCTTCTACCTTCAAGTTGTGAAAGAAGAACAAGCCAATCTAACTCTTTAGGTTTTAGAAGATTGAACAGGGGCAGCTGTTGTGCCCCAAAAGTTTCCCTCCCATTTCCTTCAATACATTCTTGAAAGCTTCTCAAAATGCTTAAGAATCTCAAAGGATGACCAATCAAATCACCTCATAAGCCAAAGGTCTACAATTAGGGTTTTGAGTTTCTCAAATAAATTTGTGTTTCAAAGGTATCAAGTGGATTCCATGGTTCTTCATATGTCCTCAATAAGGTTCATGTCATGTTTCAAGTCTTACATCACAAGTTTGCTCAGTCAATGACTGACATGGTTGAAAATCAATTGTATTGGTTAAAAAGTCAAATATGGCCAATATATAGTCAAACTTCAAGAATTTTTGTCAACATCAATATTTTGAAGTTATATTCAACATTTGATCAAGGGTTGATCAAGATTCCTCAAGGAAAGCCCTCAAATCATCAAAAGTCAAGAATTGTCAAATTAGGGTTTCCTTAGGAGAAGTCAACTGAACTTTGACCAAGCATAACTTTCACATGCTTCATCAACTTTTCACCAACCAAATCCCATTTTGAAGAAAATTAAATTTTCTACAACTTTGAATTTATGCTCAAGACCAGAAAATGCTTCATTTGTAAGATATGAGCTAATACATTATAGGTCATTTTCAAAAGTCAAGAAAAGACACTTTTTTCAAGGCAACTTACATCAAGATAATATCTCCAAATGCAAAAATGATAAAAATAGAAAGTGTAGAGGACATCTTAATATTTTCAAAAAGTTAAATATCATATTAAAAAGATCAAAATTGAGCAAGTTATGAGTTGCACAAGTTTGGAAATTTCGAGGAAATTCATGAAATGCAAGATGAGCAAAATTGAAGTGTTGAACTAGTGGGCTTAACTTTTGATATCTAAACATGATCATAAGATGTTAGAGGATATTTAAAAATAATTCTTACATTTGAATGATTTTTATTTATTTTATTTGAATTTTTGTTCATTTAAAAATAAATAAAATCAAATAAAAATAAAAAGTATGTAAAAAGGCTTGGGCCTTTGGATTTCACTCCCTTTGCAGGCCCAATAGTGCATACAAGCCTGTCACAACATGTCCAAATTCGTGCAAGCTTAAAGAGTCAAGACTTTTTCAAGTTTGACAAGTTTTAAATGTGTTTTATCCTTGTTTAAACCATGGCTTCACAACCTTGATTCCTTTCCATATATGCTGACTCATTCCCTCCTTTATATAATGCAAGCCAAGGCAAATCAAATGACATGAGACCACTGCATACAAAAGCTCTCTCAAAATTCTCCAAAAATTAAAAGAATTGGTGAAAATTATATCTCACGTTCCATCCCATATCAATCCAAACCAAGGCCATCAATATATTCCTGAGATCCCTAGGAGTCTTCCAGAGTCCAGATTCAAGCCCTAAGCATCTCAAAACCTCTTCATCCCGTCTCACCGGTTTTGGTAAAACTTTGAATCTCAAACTCTATAATTGTGTGATTTAAATCTGTTTTATGCATGCATTCATATTACTATTGATGTTTTGAGTAAATTTAACGTGTTACATGTGAGCTTAGGGGCCTGAATCCAAAAACCCCATAGTTAGGGCACAAAGGGCTATGTTCTTTGTATCTCTGTGTATAGACGTTTTTAGGAGAAATGGATGGCCCCATTGTATTGGAAGAACCTAATTTAGGGGGGGGGGGGGTAGCTTGAACCTTTGGCTTTGATGTTGTCTCTTTTGCAGGTTTGTTTTTTTTTTCATCTGGAGAAGAAGGAGTTGACCACCGTGAGGGGTGGTCTGACTCGCCGGAGTAATCGCGTGGAAAAAAGAAATAATATGATTGGCTCATTCAAATCCATCTGGGTGCGTGCGTGTCTGAAATAACAATATGATTGAGTTTTGAAATATATTTATTTATTTGCATTTGAATTAATGAATGAACAATACAATCCAGTGGCAGCGTGCGCGTGCTAAAGGCATACCCCTCTAGGTTCCTGGGTTTGATCCAGACGCGAGGAAGTTTTTATTTTTCTTGTATTCTCATTACACATCCAGTTCATGCAAAGGATAGAGCGCACATGGTACGTCTCCCAGTTGAGCCATCATATCTCAAAACCTTAAATCCAACGCTCCAAAGCAATCATGACCACGATGCACTCTAAGGAACGTTGCCCACTGGATCCGGCACAGGCTTCTGGTCTCCTTTGTTAATGGGCCTAAAGTTATTTTGTTTCTAACACCCGCCTCCCATTCTCTTGCAGTGCAGGCCTATATTTTTTTTATATTTAGTTTTAATTTATTTCTTTTTTCTTTTTAATAACTCTTTTAATAAAAAATTATAGAAATAAATAATTAGCTTTAGGATTTAATCAATTAACTTTATCTTCACAATAAAAATTAATTAATTTAATCACTTAAATTTATTTTATTAATTAAAATATAATTAGAATTAGGCTTTAAGTATCATTCAATAATTTTTCTAAACAATAAAAACACCAAAAAGATTTTTCTTATACTTAGAATTTTTTAGGGTTTTCTAGATACATTTTCCCTCTTTAATCTTCGCACGTTTATTTATATTTTTGCATTATTATTTTTCACATTTTTTTTGTAATTAGCCATAGTTTGTAATAGATAATTAGGGCATTTATACTTTACTTCCCACACTTTTATTTTCTGCCCTTATGTATATATCTAATTGCTAGATTAACTAGGCGTGCTTGGAAAGATTTAAAAGCAAACGGTAGAAAACCTAACATCTAAGATAAACATAACTGAAACACAACATACTTTGCACACACACACCTCTAAGGTACCCCAATTGTTGCCTTCGAAAAACAAACGGTCACGTCTCTCGAACGTGGGAAATTTTAGCAAAGACCCTTGCGTTAAAAGATTATAGTCCCTCGATGACCCTTCGATGTTGCCTCGGTAATTGATCTTAGTACCTTAGGGTAATTGCTAAAGTGTTCTACGGGTTGCCTTTGTGAGTGTACAATGACCCGCGCCCGATCCTCAAACATCCAATGATAGGGCTACCTAATAACTGATAGTAGGATAGCACTTTCTAAAGGAAAATAGGAAAATAACATAGACCTTTCGAGTAATTAGATAGCTTATAGATGCTTGCTTACAAAACAAAACAAATCTCTCACACATACACTCTCTTTTTTATAAATATTTTCAAAGACAAAACACTTTGTATACGTTCTTAACTATACGAGAATCATTACAAAGTTTTCCGCACTAAGGCATCTTTTCAAAATATTTTAAAAAGTACACTTACACAAAAAGCATTTTCAAAAGTGAGCTAGCAACTAAGAGCCCGTAGATAACTACGGATGGAAATAGTGCTAACACCTTACCTTTCCATAACCTACCCCCTTACTCAGAAAAATTCTCGAAAGGTATTTCATGTTATTTTTACCCTTTCCTTTATTGGATAAAAGAAAAATCGATGGCGACTCTTGCTATCCGCAACATTTACGATAAAATGAAAACTAGTAAAGTCAGTTCTCCCACCATATTACACCAACACATATCAAAATGCATCGATCTGATTCCCGTAGGTCCAGTTATGATTTTTTTAGTGAAACTTCTAATGATCCTGATCAATCAGTGCATTGGCTGACACGGGCAGCCGTGTCAGACCTTCAGGAGCATGCTAGAAACTTTTCCAAAACTTTGAATTTTTCACTTTTTTGCACTGATTTGTCCTGATTTATTTTTGTGAGCCTAAAAATCATAAAACATACAACCAACACATAAAATATAGAAGAACAAAATGAAACGCTTTACAATATAAATAAAATACAATTAAAATCAACGGTTAATAAAGATGTAAAAACCATTGATCCCAACATAATATTTTTATCTTGGTTCGCTGTTAACAAAGTTACCTCCAGTCCACCTGCCAAGGTGATTTTTCCTTCTCACAAGGACTTAATCGACTATAACCAAACTGATTACAACCACATAGACCTATTGTCAATGTCTTCTTGAGTATTCTGATTATAACCTAGTTTCTCAAGGAATAATCAACTCATAAGTTGAGATATAAAAAGTGTGCTTACAAAGATGCTTCTAGGAAACAGACTACACAGATTGAAATACAAAGATTAACAAAAATGTATTTTTAGCAAGTTTATGAAAAAAGTTCCTTGCTTTACAATTTTTCTCTCAAATATGAAATGTTTCTCTTGGAAAAAGTTCACGTGAAAAGATGTTGTAAAAGTTCTTCTTTTCCATTCTTCCAAGGGCTTCTTTATAGGAATAGAAAGATCTGTTGGAGGGTAGAATAGGAATTCCAAAATTCTAGTTGTATTCTTGCATAAAGGTCATTGAGAGTGGTAAACAACATCATATCATAGTATTTTCCTTGCGCCACAAAATTAGTATAGTGGAAGGAATATTTAATCTTG